TTATGATTTCAGATATTTCTGAGAACCATTGCTATCCTTTATTCTTCAACTTTTCAACTTAAAGTTAATAATATTAGAATTTTTCTTTCACAATATATACCAGGTATCCTTTCTTGCCCCTGCCCCAAAGGAAAATTCTGATATTATACTAGTTCTTTATTCTCAAATATTTCCTTTGAACTAAAAAATAATGGTCTAAGAATAACATTCGGAGAGACCTGCTGGTAGGTTTCAATTATTTTGACTAATAAAGTAGAATATTAATAAAGAAGGAATTCACTGCTGTTCTACTTAATTCATTATTTCTTCAAGGAAACCTAAATGGTAAACACATATTTTCTCTTTGACCTACTTGTCAAGTTGAATATGTTGGGGAAGGGTTAGTTCCTGAATGATAGAAGGTCACCAAGAATACACAGGGGTCCCCCACCACCAGTTACTGCAGCACAAGTTCGATCCCCACCCAGGGAGGTCACCCACATGGTGCAGCAGACCTCTCCTCTCTCACCTGCTGCTCCCCTCAGCAGCATATTTCAGTACATCTGCCTATTCTGCTCCCCATTCTGTCTCTGGTGAATCCTCTCACCCCATCCCAACCTATGACCCATATCCCAGTTCTTGTATGCATAAATAAATCAATCTTTAAAAAAAAAAAAAAAGAATACGAGGAAACCATAAATTTAAAAAATGGTGTTTATGTTATTTCCATTGATTTATAATTCTGTACTTGTTTTAGGAGTATAGATATATGTTACCATACTACACCTACCACCAAATCACCAATAATACTTCACCATATTCCTGTGAACCGCCTCTCCTCTGCTTCTACCCCCACGCCTTCTGGCAGCCTCATTTCTGCAGTCAGATTTAAAGGGTTTGTTTTGGTTTGGCTTTGTCTCTTTCTTTGCTCTGTTTCTTTATATAAAGCAACCATATTTAGTGCTCACTGCTGCAAATTTGTTTGGTTGGGCTGGGAAGTTTTATGTTTGGAACTGGATTTGGAGTTTGATCCTTGTGATCTCTTTGGTGTCTGCATGAAGAAATTTGCATTGCATTATGGTGCAATCAGCTCTTTATTGGAGTTGCATTTCTAAATGTTCAGGGCAGTGCAAATGACACAATTTCCTATTGGTGCTGTAGTAACATAATACCACATCACAGTTTTGTAAAGCAAAAAGCATTTAGTTATTTTCTTATATCTCCGACCATCAGAAGTCTGAAATGGGTTTTACAGGGCTGAAAAAAAGTTTTGGCAGAACTCTGATCCTTTTGGAGACTTTGGGAGTGAGTCATTCCTTGTCTTTTTCAGTTTCTAGAGTCTGCCTGGATTCACTTGCATTCCTCACCTCACTCTAAGCTCTGCTTCCATCATCACAGCTCCTTTTTTGCTTTCAACCTTTATAAAGTCTTGTAAGAGCCATTGTAATTTAATAGGGTCCTCCTGGATAATCCAGTATGACCTTCCCACCTCAAGGTCCTTAACTTAATTATACCTGCAAACTCCCTGAAAAATGTGCGAAGTGTTATTGGTGGTAGGTGTAGTGTGATAACTTACATCTGAAGGTGTGTGCACATACACTTCTAAAATGTATAGAGCTATAAACCTATAAAAATAAGCAACAAATTTTTTAATGTCATTATTATTTCTACCTCCTACAAATTCTACCTAGTCATTCAGATCATCATCCCACTGTTACCTCCTTAGAGAAGCTTTCTAGGGAATTTAGTAAAAAAATACATTTTTCTTTAACATATTGTGGAATTTTCTGACATTTTACTTACTTGTCACTTTCATCTTACTCTACCAGAAGGTAAGCTCCATTTGCTCAGAAGCATGGTGAATCTTCTTCAGTTCTTGACCCCCATACCAAAATTAGTCTCCCCAAATTCCCAGCATTTGTTAGACTCTCAGAAGATGTTTGTTGACTCAGTCTGTGTATATTCTAAGGAAGTCTACCTTACTTTCAAACTATATTAATATACTCCTATTCCTATTGCTATTAGTAATACAAATATTTTTATTAAAGATCAGCTAAGCATGCCATCAATGGATTTTCCTTTAAATTTAAGTAATGGGTTTCTTTTTGGGACATGGATAAAATCAATAAAACAAAATACCAGAATAAAACAAAGCTTCACGTGAAAGAATTTATAAGAGTTAGAATTAATGCAAATAGTAAAGAGCTTGCCGGAAAAGGAATAATAAAATTATTTTGATTCAAGTTGTAACCATGTTCCAAGTGAATAACACATGTTCTGTGCCCTGCTCACCACAATAAATGCTTACAAAGAAGAGTGGACCGAAGGTGATTTTAATTGAGATTTGAGACATCAATTCTGGTAAGGAGAGCTTTCCTCAGGATGTTCAAACATTGCTTGTTATTGCTCCAGAAAACTCAAAAAGTTTTAGACAAAAAGGAAGACATTGCCCATTAACATGACATTAACAGTACTAGTGGAAGAACTCCATTCCTTTGAGCAGGTAACATAGCTTTTCAACTGTTGTTCTTTTATGCTTCCAGGAATTTGATAAATATGAGACAACGAAACGGGGTACTTACTGAGTACCTGATTCTGGTTAGTACTGAGGCTGTGGATCTCATATTGAACTGTATTTAAGGAGAAGAAGAAGCTGGGAAAGTTTCAGACAGTTCATATAAGAGGAATTCTTATGTACCAAATTGTGCCCTTCCAAAGTTCAATGTTGAAACCTGAATTTTTAATGTGCCTGTATTTGGAAACAGGGCCTTTAAAATAAAAAGGGAATTAAGGTTAAATGAGTCATAAGAGTTGGCCTTAATCCAATATGACTGGTGTCCTTATAATAAGAGAAAAACAAAGAAAAAGTCATGTGAGGATATAGTGAGATTTGATCATTTATAAGTCATGGAGAGAGGCCTCCATTTGAGATCTGATAAAATGAAACCTGGGGAATCTTGAGCTCTCAAACCATTAGAAAGTAATTTTCTGTTGTTTAAGGTGCCCAGTCTGTGGTACTTTGTTAAGGCAGTCCTGACGAACTACAACAAGAAACAGTTTGATCTACATGTTATGGGATGGATAGGGTCATTTCTAGGAAATACTTTTGGTGAGGATCACTATCAGAGAGTCTGACGTGGAACAGTACTTAGCAGAAGTGGTGACATGACAGCTACAGAAAAAATTGTAATATAATTTAGCTGTTGAGTTAAAAAGTAGAAGAGAAAAGTGAGTGTAAATGGGGTCTGGGTCTCTGGGGTTTGGGAGGTGATTATAGATGGTCTTGAAATTCAGAGAGAGAAAGTTTGTATATTCAATATAGTAGAAAATCTAGGGTGTACACTGGGGTTTTGTTAGGAGTCAACTTTAGAAAAGGAAGATATCATCTGTGGGAGATATGGAAATGAAGAGGAAGGTGTGGCTCCGAAGAACTATCAAAATTATATTTAAAAAAACAGTTTAGTGATAACTTAGGTTTTGATTGGGAGGAGTGAGGATTGTAGATAAAGAGGTATCACATAGTTTTTCATCCTTGGGGCTTGATGAAAATTGGATTGTGCTACAATCGTCTCCTTCTCCTACTTATTTCTAAGTTTTTAAATCAGAAGACTTACCCTTCTTTCCAGAAATCTTTATTGTTATTAAACTCTCTCCTTCCACCTGATACTGTAGTTTACTGTTTGTGAAAATACCAGGGATGACTGAGGTGTTCTTCATGGCCTACAGAATCCTACCATGTTCTTTCCTAACATGCATAGTTTTGAGAGAGGAGCAACGCCACTTGTCTCACATCTATAGAAATACTGTTACCTAGTTTTTACTCTCTAAAACAGTGTTTGTTTTTTCTCATTGTAGGAATTATGTTTATTTTGGAAATTTTGGATTAGGTAGAAACATATACAAAAATTTAATAAATAGCCCTGATTCTGTATAGCTACTTTTATTATTTGGGATGGCAAATGAATAAATCCTTTATTCCTCCTTTTCAGTTGATCTGCATGATTATTTGATATGTTCACATAATGTTGATATATAAATATACATATATATATATATACACATATACATCCATCCATCCACATATTTAGTTTTAGAGTCTTTATGATTTTTTTCTTGGCATTCCTAGTATGGCATAGAAAATTGTGATTTTTTTTTTAAATGCTAGGATTTACTTGCAATAGATAGACAAAGGTTCAGTTTTGCTTCTAGGGAGTCTTACTCTTGGAAACTTCTGTGAAATTATATTTGGTAAATGGGAACTCATATATTAATTTTAAAGTATGTATTTGAAATTGGATGAAAATATCTTTTAGAGGTTAAGCTGTATCCAGTGTAAAGAGATCATATTCACCATATTATTTTACTCTTAAATTTATTTTTGACTATTTTTTTAATGTGCAAAAGCTTGACTTTTTTTTAAATTATGCCTCTCATTTTTTTTTAAAAGATTTATTTATACATACAGAACTGGGGTACAGGCCAGCGGTGCAGGGGAATTGAAAAGATTCATCAGAGACAGAATGGGGAGCAGAACAGGCAGATCTACAAAGTACATTGCTGAGGGAAGCAATGGGACAAGACAGGAGAGGTTTGCTGCGCCATGTGGATCAACTCTGGGGCCAGGAATCGAACTGCACTCAAGCGGCTGTGGCTAGCTTATAGTGCTGTGTACTAACCCTTTGCACCATCAAGAAGGGCCACAACAGCTTATGTTTAAAGGAGCAAGTCATTTAATGTACAACAAAGTGAATGAAGTGCTCTCTTCTTGGAAATGAAATGTTTAGCCTCGAGATAAATCAGAAATTTAGGGCATTTGCCCTTCTTTACTGGGTAGAATCTCATGTCTAATTGGTGGATGTCTAACTACTGAGAAGGTGGAAATATTGCTTTGTTTTCATTTAATTTCATATTGAATTGATTTTCTCATTTATAATACTCTAAACCTCCATCCAATGAGAAATTTGTGTCATTTGATCATTATGGCTAAATTATAAACAACTTTTATCTTTTTGATATTACAGTTGACTCACGTTGACCAGGCAAGCTTCCAGGTTGATGCCTTTGGAACTTCCTTTATTCTTGATGTCATGCTGAACCAGTAAGTCTGCTGAACTGCACTCACTATTGTTAGAAACACATTAAATCACTTTCATATTTGTCTATAAAGTTGTGTTTTCTTCTTATATTTTGCTTCATCTTTTTTTTTTCCCTATTATCAGTTAAATATTACATTTAAAGTTATGGCCTCTATTGACTTTAACTTATCAAATTTGGTAAATAACAGGAAATAGCTATCTACTTGAAGATGAATGACTAGAATAGCTTTTAGAATGTAAAAAGGACTTAATGCTAATATTTTGCATAGATTATGTGAGACCTAAGTTATCATAAGCAACAATAAATTATGAAAATAACACTTTGGCTATTGAAATGTCCTTCTTTGGAACAACAGAAAAGAAAAATTTACCCTATTTCATCAGTGGTTCAGAAACTAAATGATGTAGTGTTTTAATCTGTGAGATTACTGGGATTATTATAAAATACAATATTAGAAATAGTCATTTGCATAGTCATTGTATAGTCAGTTTTCAGTCATACTGAAAAACATTTGTCTACTTAGAATTTTAGTTTTGAAATATTAAAATTTTAAGTTTGAAAGTGACATTTGATAAATTAGTAGATTTAGTCTCTTCTTTTTGGGTAAATGTATCTAGTTAGTCTAATAGAACATATTTTCTAGTTTTCTAGTAATGTGTTTGTATTTGCTTCTTCTCATGCACATGGTAATAGACAGGGCTCTCTTGCCAGTTAATATTTTGGAACTGAGCAGTACTGGCCCACAGTTTTTCTATGAGAAGTTGTGTAATAACTTAGGAAGAAAGTCTGAGGTGAGGAGGACAGATAGGAAGACTGAGAATGAGAAATAGAGTCTAAGTTGTCATATATGGGAGACAGCTAACGAAAACTCTGAGTTGATTTAAAGAAATATAAAATGCAGGACTTAGAGCTGTGCTATCTAAATAAATAAATTTGGATTTATTTTTGAACAAATGAAAAATTTTTTGCATCAGTTGCATTAGCTACTTTTCAAATGCCTTGAATGGTTGATGGCTACCTTACTGGACAAAATAGAACTTTTCCACCTTTACAAAAAGTTATTTTGGACACTGTGATTTAGAGATTTCTTTTGGGAACTGACTGTCAGATAATTGAATTAGTTCAGTCAGTATTCAGGAGAAGAATTTACTTTTTTTCAGATTTCAGTCTTCATTCACTGGATTCTTAGTATTCGTATTAATACCTTAATTTTTAAGGAATTTATTTACAAAGTGTGTGACATTTTTCTTGTTAATGGTTAAGTCATGTATTAGTATATTATTTATTATTTTGAAAACACTTGCCAACTCTGAAACATGACCCCAAAATGAGCTGCCAGGAAAAAAGAAGATCACTACAGGGGCATAGGTTAGCTTTTAATTAAACTCTCTCATAGGTATTTTGTATGTATTGTCATCTTTCCCATTTTTGTATTTTACAAAAAAAAATTTAAATACTAAAAAGCATTGTTTTAGATGGAAATTTACCATTTGGATGATCCAGAAGTGGAAGTTGTTTGATTTTTGATCACATATATATTTAAAATGTAACATAAATTGTATTTCTGCTAAATTTGCAAAAAATACAATTTATTATCTTAAAAATTAGTGACTGTGATTGAAAATAGATCACTTAGTTTTTAATCCAGTTTCATAGGATGTAAGATTATTTTAATATGATCTATCTTATATTCCTGTTTGATGTAAATAGCCTAAAATTTTTATGTTTGTTATAAAGTTTTAAGAACATTCATTATAAAGGAATCAATCCTCGTTAGACAAAAATGACCCCAAAAAATCATTTTTTTCACCTCTGGGAGACTGATTGCCCTATTTTAAGTTGTAACCCACTCTGCCTTCACTCCCCCATCCACCCTACAACCTATCCTCCTAAACTACTTCACTTTGAAAATAATATTCATAACCATTTAATGTGTGGGTTGACTCATAGGAAATTGCTGTTTTTATAGGTCAAAAAGTTTGACTGCCAGCATTATTATAAGATCAAGCAATACTCTATAGTTTATTTAGTCCATTGTCTCTTTTTCTCCTACTCCATGTAAGCGCCAGGAGGGCAGAGATTTTTGTGACTGCTGAATCCTCACCATATGATAAATTCCAGATTGGAAAATCATATTGGCTTTGAAACCAAAGGAATTAAGCAGGAGACTGAGATGACTGGATGAGGGTGGGGGCTGTCATAGAGAAAGAGTGAAGCTCTAAAAAAGGAAAAAGAGATAAATGTTAAGGATTGGCTTCTAAAAACTAAGCCTATTTATCTAGGTGTGACTTGGAAAGTCAGGTTCCTAGGTTTGTATTTCAACAACTCTTTTGACATCCCTCCTCTAAATCATCATTCCTGTGGATAGCCCCTGCCCTGTTTGCTGGTTTCTAACATTTGCAATAGTTAGGATTCCCCTTCCCTTGTGGGATCTTCTCAAATTCAACTAGCAAACATATTAACATTAGACACCCTAATAGAAGAAAAGAACAAATTTATTTGCACATGTATAGAGAATGTACATGGTTGTAAATTCTAGAGTAATGAACTGATCAAAAGGGGGATTTTATTCTTGAGTAAATGAATGGCACAGGGACTTGGAGCATCAAGGACAGAGGAGGGTGCAGATTCTCTAGATGTTTGACTTGCCATAGGTAGGTTTCTTCAGTAGACAGATTATTTTTGGAGATGAGCCTAAATCTGGATAATCTTTTGTTTAGGTAATGGAAGTCAGTAGTTTCATTGGAAGCCTGCATGACCTCAAAGTGCCCCTACCATGTTGTGATTTGCTTTTTAGCCTGGGACTTTAGACACAGGTGAAAGTAGCCATTTTTTTTAAATGTATGGAAACATGAATGACTTGATAAAAAGTTTTTTTTTCTTATTTTTATAGAAAATGTTTTCATTTTTTATGTTATCTTTTGGGTATGCTGACTAAGGATCAAGAAAAAAAAATGGATATGTTCTTTAAAAGTTCTTTTCTCAGACCCTTCCTGGTGGTGCAGCAGGTTAAAGCATAGCACTGTAAGCTAGCCACTACTTCACAGCGTGAGTTCAAACCCTGGCCCTGGGGTGATCCGCATGGTGCAGCAGACCTCCTGTCTCTGCCACTGCTCCCCTCAGCAGTGTACTTTTTCAGTCTGCCTGTTCTGCTCCCCACTCTGTCTCTGGTGAAGCCTCTTACCACTCCTGCACCTCTGGCCTGTACCCCAGTTCTGTATAAATAAATAAATAAATCTTGAAAAAAAAAAAAGCTCTTTTTCATGAAGCAAGTCTAAAACTGGAGCAGGTAGTTTTTGTTGTTGTTGTTGTTGTTTTGTTTTAAACTGGAAGCAAGTTAAATGTCCCCATATGGCTCAATTCCAGTTGCAGAATGTATCCAGTGATACATATATTTATTTTTAAAGATTTATTTATTTATACATGTAAGAGCTATGTGCAGGTGAGAGGTGCGGGGAGTGATAAGACTCATCAGAGATAGGATGGGGCACAGAACAGGCAGGTCTACTGAAAACACTGCTGAGGGGAGCAGCAGGCTTGACAGAAGAGTTCTGCTGTACCATCTGGGTCATCTCCTTGGCCAGCGATTGAACTTGCGCTGCATTGGCTGCATAAAGCTTCATAGTGCTATGGCTTAACCCATTGCACTACCAGGGAGGCCCCGATACATATTTTTAAATTAGAATCAAAAAAATCATTATATAATACTTCTTCTGACTGTTTAGTCAACAAGATTATCTCTAACCAATTTATACTTGTGTTCAGTCTTCTTCAAGAGGCAGGTAAAGAATATGGAATGATTAACAACAAAAAGCCAGTTTCTATTTTGTCTAGACAATGAAGGATAGGAATCAACTTTCAGAGTTCCTTCTTGGTGTCACACAGTTGTGAAATTTCACTCTACAGAACAGATATATTTGTAAAACCAAAAATATGGCCTGTCCTGCCACAATCAAACTAACCTTGAGACCATTTTGAACTTTTCCAGAGGTGAGTGGCAGACATTATACTTTATTGTGAAACATTCTTCATAAAAAAATACTTAATAAAGCTATTTAACTATTATTACCAGAAAAATTCTGAACGAAACTGTTCTAGAAATCTTCCTTCTGTTTTCTGTGTTCCCCAAGGCAATACAGAAATATTGAAAAAATTTTCTTTGCCTGCGCCTTGTTGTGTTTATAACAGGTGACCTAAGAAAAACAAACCACATGCATGCATACAGACATAAACCCATACACATGCACACACACACATACATAATCACACACCACCCTACACATAACAGCAGATATTCCACTTACCCTGTGTTTGGTTGTTTTGTGATATGAAACATGTTAAAGGAAAAAGAACCCATCTTTAATAGCTTGTTTTTTTTGGAAAGGGGTTATACAGCTCTAAGATCTTCAATCTTCCAAGTCTTAAATCTCATCTGTCTTTATGGATTCTTTCCCACTTATTCCAATAAGAACAAAAATTGTTTATCTTGCTTTATGATCCTTGTATCAGTCTCTCTACTTTTCCTATTTCATAGTAAGTTCAGAGAGAAAAAGTAGGGATTAAGACATTTAATCTCTTAACAGCTGGGGTTGCCCATGTGAGAGGTGGAAACCGGAGGATAGTAGTGGAGAGAAAGCAGGAAAAATAGGAATAGCGTCAGACAAAGAGTACTTGAATTCTGTTCAAACAGACAAGTTCAGTCTTGTCTTTTCCCCTGTCGGGAATCATGTGCAAGTTAGCCACCTCTTGTTTCCTTTCTATTGTGATTCTTGAATTTTCAAGGAAAGTAGGAATCACAGCAGTTTGTAAAAGACAGGGTATGAATTCCTTTGGAGTTCAGCCATAGATCTGGAAGAGTCTCATTTACTTCACCATGCTCTATTTACTGTGTGATAAATAGAATGTTTACTGTGTGGATAAAAATAAGCAGTGAGGATGAGACTATAATTAAATGATGATGTTATGTGATGATAATGAATAACACAATGGATTTCTCTGTTA